TCAACTTGTTCCTCTTGTTGGAATATTCCCATGAATAATCCACTGCAGATTCTCTGATTTGAATCATAAGGTCAATAGCAAGATAAACCCAAGAGATTAATTCCAGTCACGCCATCCCAGTGGTGCCAGCAGCTGTGCTTTTCTCCACTTCAGCTGTGCAGGAGGGAGGGGAGCAGCTCAGCTCCCAAATGGCTGCAGAACTCTGCAGGTGGCTGGGTCTGGATGTGCAGGTGGGAGATGGGGCAGTGCCCACCCGTGTCCCCAGGCTCCCCATGGCACCAGGCTGGGCAGGAGGGGTGCCTGCCAAAAGCTGGTGAGTGCTCATTCACTGAGCTTTGCCCCACCACAAGGACATGGGGACCTTGGCAAGATTTAAGAAGTGGAGTAATGAAAGCTGGAAATCTGATTAAAAACTAATTTAGGCCTTGATTAATCTCAGTGCTTAAATACATTCCCGAAATTCAGCGTGTCAGAGCCCTGTGGGGATCCAGGGCGCTCTCGCTGGGGCTGGCATGGGCCATGAACACACAGGTGCCTGTGCACACCTGGGGCATGGAATTCACTGAGCACCTTCACACCATCCAAAGGGTCACGTTGTACAAAACCATCCAGTCTGTCCTTAAAGGAGATTGTGACCTCTGCAAAGTCTTGTTGATTCCTCCATGATCCTTCATGGGTATCCCAAAAGGGACATCTCCCATTTCCACCAGAAAATAACTCCCACTGCCTCTCTGGCAATCATTCCCCTCATTCTTTACTGTTTATACCTTTGGATACTTATGAGCTATTGTCACACTTTCAAGAACTCAATTTTTTCTCTTTTTTCCAGAGAAACCATCACCATTCAACACAAAATATAACACCAAGGCTGTTTGATATGATCAGTAAGCTTGGGTTTTTTTTTTGTTTTTTTTTTTTTATTCCTCATTTTTATTTTAAATAATTATATGAAAAAGAAATTTGAAGACTTTTGCTGTCTAGTATGATATGTTTACAGTCTGCAGACCACAACTGCATTTCAAGCAAATGCTCTTGCAAACAGTATGTGTTTTATACAAAGCAGTGCAATTTGTCAGGTACAGATGGATCATCTGGCTGCAGGCAAACTTTGAAAGCTGTCACATACAGCGGTTTTATTTTAAGCTTGTTACTGGCTTTAAATACAGAATTTGGATTTGTGTCTGCATGCCTGGTGGGTGAGCTGTGGTGTGTACCACACCACACTGGTGTGTAGCCCTGAAAGAATGCATCCTAACACCTGGCTCAGGATATTCATTGCAAGAACACTGGAAACTCAAAGGCAAATAAAATACCAAGTGTGTTTGTGCCAGCAGAATCTGGCTTGTCTGTTACTCATTCAGTGTTAGGTATTCAGCAAAATGCATGAGTGGTGGAGACAAAGTTTATTCCTAGTAGTCATAGAGAAGAATGAGCATTTATCAGTGAATAAACTCTGACTTTTTTACATTCTCCCAACCTCCAGCTCCATGGGGATTTTTTGGAGCTGGCTCTGTTGTGTTGGCTGCTGCTTATACCTATGCCAGGAGAGAGGATAGCACTGGAACCTATGCTGTTGCTTTGCTTCGTGTATTTTGCTGATGCACACATGTCCATGTTTCTGTCAGTGGTTTTGGGAACAGCCCAGGCCAGGTCCAGGTCCCTGTGTAGATGTGTTTGATGGGGTCTCCAGGCTCTGTTCCCCATGTAGATGTATTTGATGGAGTCTCCAGGCTCTGGTCCCCATATAGATGTATTTGATGGGGTGTCCAGGCTGTGTTCCCCATGTAGATGTATTTGATGGGGGTTTCCAGGTCCAGGTCCCTGTGTAGATGTGTTTGATGTTGTCTCCAGGCTCAGGTCCCTATTATGATGTGTTTGATGGGGTCTACAGGCTCCGTTTCCTGTGTAGATGTGTTTGATGGGATCTACAGGCTAAGTTACCTGTCTAGATGTATTTGGTGGGGTTTCCAGGCTCATTTCCCCCTGTAGATGTGTCTGATGTGGTCTCCAGGCTCAGTTCCCCCTGTAGATGTGTTTGATGGGGTCTCCAGACTCAGTTCCACCTGTAGACATGTTTGAGGGGGTCTCCAGGCTTAGTTTCCCCTGTAGATGTGTCTGATGGGGTCTCCAGACTCAGTTTCCCCTGTAGATGTGTTTGATGAGGTCTCCAGGCTCAGTTCCACCTGTAGACATGTTTGAGGGGGTCTCCAGGCTTAGTTTCCCCTGTAGATGTGTCTGATGGGGTCTCCAGACTCAGTTTCCCCTGTAGATGTGTTTGATGAGGTCTCCAGGCTCAGTTCCACCTGTAGACATGTTTGAGGGGGTCTCCAGGCTCAGTTTCCCCTGTAGATGTGTCTGATGGGGTATCCAGGCTCAGGTCCCTGTCTAGATCAGTTCGATAGGGTCTCCAGGCTCAGTTCCCCCTGTAGATGTGTTTATGGAGTTTCCAGGCTCTCAGTTCCCCGTGTAGATGTATTTGATGGGGGAGGCCTGTCCCTCCAGGGTCAGGCTGTCGGTCTCATTGAAGGTGTCGCTTTCCCCGGCGCGATTGGCGCTCTTCGCCCGGCTCACCCGCGACTGCAGCCGCTCGTGCTCCTTGCGCAGCTCGGAGTAGGAGTGGGAGAAGGTGTGGAATATCGAGGTTGCGGGGAAGGACATGATGAGGATCCCGCTGAGGATGCTGCTGAGAGCCACCATCTGTCCCGGCACGCTCCGCGGCACCATGTCCCCGTAACCCACGGTGGTCATGGAGATGATGGCCCACCAGTACGAGGCGGGGATGCTGGTGAATTCCAGCACCCTGCCCGACTCGTTCTCAGCCAGGTACACCAGGGGGGAGAAGAGGGTAACGGCCACGCAGAGGAAGAGCAGCAGCAGCCCGAATTCCCGCGTGCACTTGCGCACGGTGAGGCCCAGGGTCTGCAGGCCCAGGGAGTGCCGGGCAAGGCGCATGACGTAGAGGATCCTCAAGGCACGTAAAACCCGTAGCACCAAGCCCACCTTCTCCAGGTACGTGTTGCTGCTCGGCCTGTCCTCCTCCTCGCTGGAGTCGTCCTCGGAGAAGATGAGGGAGGCGTAGTAAGGGGAAATGGCCAAGAAGTCAATGATGTTCAGGGGTCCTTTGAAGAACTGACACTTGCTCCTGGCCTGGATGAAGCGGAGGCAGAACTCCAGGGAGAACCAAGCCACACAGATGGTCTCGATGACGAAGATGTAATAGCACTTCTGGGAACACTCGCCCTGCCACAAAACAGAAAGGGAAACAAAGGAACAGCCTGTGAACCAGCATCCAAAAACACTGAGGGAGAAGCAATATGGATCTGCCTGAGTCACTGGTAGCAAAAATAAACAAACCCCAGCTCACAGGTAGTGTGGCAGCTGTCCTTCAGTTCCACAGAGAATACTGAGCGCACAAAATAGCTGAACAAACAGATTTAACTTCCTCCCTCATTTCACTGTGTTGCTTCTTGCAACCTACTAGAATGAAACTCATCTATGTATGAAGTCCTGGCATGCAGGCCAGGAAGTCCTGAATGCTGCAGACAGGTAGAAAAATTATAAATAAAAAGCCTCATAAAATCAAGCCTGCCCTATTAAATTAATGGCTGGCCTGTTTCTTCTAAATGCAGCTAAGTACTTTGCAAGTTCTCATGTGAAAACATCTTGAAAATGAGAGTTCATTAACACAGCAATCTATTTCTAGGGTGAAAAACAAGTGTACCTGTATAAACAATAAGATCTGTCCCATGAGAATCAGTGAAGAAAATACGTAAACAATTCAAGAATAGAGAGATTTGATGGACAAGTAAAATACCTTTTACTAATCAATACAGTAATTGACAAGAAAGTTATCAACAAATTAAAGTTGCCCACGAGGCCTGTAAAAACTGTATTAAATGAGCTGTGTGAATAAAAAATTTACTTTTCCCACATGAAGAAAATGGAGTCATGGCAGACTTTTTACAACACTGAATAACTCAGAGTTTCTACTTGGGAGTAACAAGTCTTTTTGTGTTATAGAATTGGCCAGTAGAGGTTCCCCCTCAGGAGTGAGTTTTACCCTGCCCAACCCTCAGAACAATTTAGCTCTGTAGCACCATATGGGGATTTTTCCTTTCTGCAGAGTAAGCTGCCAAGTCCATATTTCACCCCTAAAAAGAAACAGCACAGAAGCTGCTGAAGGCCTGGCTCTGCATGCAGGGTCAGGCTGTGGCTCCATTTGCAGTCAGGGCTGGAGCACATTGATGTTTGCAGAGCTGCTGACTGGGCTCGCTGAGATTGCCTGCAATCAGCAGTTGTGCTGTGCTGTGCAGTGCTCACTCCTTCTGAGCCCTGAATTATTTGTACAGTGCAGCCTAGACTCTGCACAAACCTGCCTCTGGTCACTCCAGTGATGGGGCCTCTGAATTATTCATTGCTCCCATCAAGATTTATTTCATTTTTTGTTAGCTGGGCTGAATTTCCAGTACATCTGTTATTTATTTGCCTTTAGACATTTGCAGGCGGCATTTCTCTCAGATCATCATGGGGTTTTCCCTATTCCTTCCTTAGAAAATAGAAGAAAAGAAATTTTGTTTGCTGGAAGGTTTAACCATGAAGATCTAGGCTGTCTTTTGAACTGAGCCTGAAATTTCAAGGTGTAGCAATGTAGAGACTGTTTGGGAGATTTTTAATTCTTGCCACCCTCAGTGACCCCAGTATTCCCTATGGAAATATATATTTACTTAGTGAAGGCAATTTATGCTGTCAGCATAATGAGAACATGCTCATTGCCTTCACATTGGGAGATGGATTTCATCCCAAGAGTTTGCATGTGAATGTTTTATATATTAAGAACATTTGTATATATTACAGAATGCACCTGACTTGATTTATATAGAATATCCCTCTCTAATGTCAGTCTCTTCAAACATTCTTCATCCTTTTGAATACCTTGTTCAAAAGCAACAAATATTGAAATAAGAGAGGGTAGGGAAGGAAATATCAGGGACCAAATCCAATTTCTGTTTCTCCCAGTAGTTCTGAGCATTTTTACATCTCAGTGTTTTATGTTGCTTTCAGAACTGCTGTCCAAAGAACAGGCAGAGCACACCGACTTCAAAGATCTGTTCTCACCAAAACACTGAAGCCCCTGTGTCGGTGGGAGAGTTCAATTTTATTTTTGCCACCACATTCCCATTAATTACTTTCAGTACTGCTCAAATACCCTGATCCATGCAAGCCTTTTTTTTGCCTAAACATCAGATAAAGAAATCCCTGTGCCACAGCAACTTCTGTACAATTCCTCTTTCTAAGCAAACCAGGCACATTTGGAAATCCTATGTTCAGCACCTGCCAACACAAACCACAACAAACTCCCTCCCTTGACCTCACCATTAACTAGAGAAGAATTCTGGGTTTTATTTCCAGATTTTTGAGTCAAGTTTTCACTGAGCTCCTTCTCCTCCTGCTGCAGTTCTGCTCACGGTGGAGTGGGAGCTCTAAAAGCTCCAAGCTGGGGTGGTGCTGACTGTGAGCAAGAGGGGAAGATGAGGTTTTATTCATAACTGACCACAACATATTTTGGGAGGTCTTTTTCAACCAAACCATCTGCCTTCAATCTGTACTCAACCTGTCACTGACTTTGATGGGAGAACAACTGTGACAGGGCCCAGCAGTGAGTATGTAACTCTTTATACTTTATTCATCCTGCAGATTTACTTTTCAACAATGCAAGAATTTGTCAGGATTTATGGAACTTGCCTCCAGCAGAAATTCTACACCCTATGATATAAATGTAATAAAATGAGTGCCTGGTATTGATCTTCTGTATGAAATGAGCATTTGGCTCAGCAATGAATGAAACAATATTTTGTGTGTAAAAATATATATACTGAGCCTGGTATCTGAAATATTGAGTGGTTTCTTAGATTTATAAACTAGCTCAAAGAAGCAAAGGAATTGTTTCAAACTCCTCTACCACCAGAGATAGTCAAAAATTCAAGCTGCCTTTTGATTATTCCCCTCTGATGTGTAAGAGAGTGGCTTATTTTCCATGGTCTCTTATGTGCTGGAGTTGATGATGTTACAGTGAGATTGCTCATTTTAGGATATTTCTGTTAAATTGTCTTTAAATAGGAAAAAAACTGAAGGTTCATAATAAAATAGAAGAGCAATACTGAGCCCAGTTAACCCAGTTCCCTCAACAGCCAGAGGAAACAAGTGCCCAAGGCAACTCTCCTGGCTTCAGTTTTCCATTCACAGAATCCCAGAATGGTTTGGGTAGCAGGGACCTTAAATCCATCTTAAACCCTTAAACCAGCTTGCTCCAAACCCTGTACAACCTGGCCTTGGATACTTTCAGGGATGGAGCAACAAAAAAGCAATTTATTCATTAATTGTGAATTCCAGATAAACGTGCTTGAGATATGTGCCACTCACAAGATAAAAAGAGATAAATTTCCCAGCCTCTTAGTTTGCCAGGAAACATTAATTAAAGTGTAATGGCATCTAGGATAACAAAAATAATCAGATTCCAGGGTTATGCAGCACTAGCCTAACTTACAACAGGTATAAATCTCATCTAGTGAAAATAATATCTTTACATGCATCAATAATTTTAGTTATGCCCAGAAACACTGAATCAGAATTTCCCCTGCAGACTATATCTCTCATCCATCCATGCTGGTTTCCAGATGCTGCTCCCTTTTTTTATGTAGACAAGGGAAAATTTTATTATTATTGAATAACTGTATGACACCACCAAGGAACTCCTCTTGATCCTTCAGGGTCTGCTCTGTGCTGATCCTTTTTGTCCCACCTGTCTGCCCACCAAGACAACTGACAATTAAAATATGCTGTGGAAAACTTTGAATCATTACCTGATCCACCAATGAGTTTCCTACTGCCAGAGATTTACCCCAAATCCTTTTGCAGTGGGTAAATACCCTTAATCTGAAGTACAGTGAGGGAAGAAATCCTGTTATTTCCCTCATGTTGGGAGGGCAGTGCTGCAGCTGTGTGAGGATAAAATTGGAGAGGTACCAACCTTCTGCCCTGGGTGGGATTGACTCTAAGTGGAAGTTTATTGGCAGCAGTCTGAGCCTGTTTTCTGTGGTGTGTAATTTAGGGTTTCCCACAATGCATAAAAATGAATCTAGGAGGTAAAACAAGCAAAACTACAGCATTTCCTGTGATCTCCTTCATGTGCTTGCCAGGGATCTCTGCTCAGGATGGTGTCAGTGATTCCAAGTGTTCCTTGATGATCTCTTCCCAAGTTAAATAGCCAAAGTTCAAATGATCTATTCCCAAGTTAAATAGCATATGATCTATTGTGTCAAATGATCTATTCCCAAATTAAATAGCAGAAGTTCCTCATATGCTTCTAGAACACTTTGCTAATAAGCCCAGCTTGATCAGTATCTGGATTATTGCAGAATCATATCATATTTCCAGAGCTTTGGCATGGAAATCAATACGTACCTCAGCACAAGGTATATGTGCTGCTTACACAGCACACTTGTGAGAAAGGAATCTCCTGTTATTTATGAAGCCAAGCTGATAAAAGTCCTTGAACCCAGCTAGAAGTCATGACTGAGCCCCTGTATGCAAACACTGCTATTTCCAGAGCATGTTTATGGGAACCAGCTGGCTCATCTTCATAAGGCAGATGAGCAATGGGCTGAAGGATCCCAGCCCTGCTCCCAGCCAGCTCTGCCCGAGCTGCAGCAGTGATTGCTCCCAAGGAAAGGCTGCCCTGTGCTCAGCCAGCCACACCTAATGGAGCCAGAGCCGGGCAGGGAAGGAGCTCAGAGAGCATGTGCTCCATCCTCTTGGAGTCCTAGAGGAGCTTCCCCAAAAACAGGACCTGCACCTTCTCATCCCTCTGCAGTGGAAGGACAGAGTGCCAGAATGTCACTGTTCACACCAGGAGCGTGCTTGGCTCCGTGGCTGATGCAAGGTCACGGTTCACATCTGCTAAATTTATCCTGGCAGGGGCAGGTTTTGTTTGGCACAGTCAAGCTGCTGCCCAGATCCTTCCTGTGATGCACACACTGCTCTGTGGACAGAGGCCAGTGTCCACCAGAGTGGCAGCAGATGGGATCAGCCTGTCCTGCAGCTCCCGAGCTGCCTTCTGCCAGCCTGTGCTGTCCAGCACATGTCCCAGCAGGACTGCTCTTCCTGCAGCCTGGCCCTTTGGCCAAAAGCAGCCAAATCACCCTCTAGGTGCAGGATTTGGAAGTAAAACCAGCAGGAATTTC